AAGCAAACAGGGTCTAATATTTTTGCCAATTATAATCTTTATGTTATAGATCAATATTATGTAAAAAAAATTTTTTTTGGTCATATGAGGTCGAAACCCTTTTTTGCTAGAAAAGCTCCCATATATAGTAAAATTTTAGGTCCCAGCTGCGGCAGTAACCTATCTATATAGTTGCGGGGGTTCTGACATTGCACGATTTGAAAAGAAATCATGCGCATGACACATTTCTAAATATGCTATAGAAATTCAAAACACAACTATTTAAGATATTGATCTAGCTTTTTTTAAAAAGTCAGTTGAAGCTAATTTAGTATATCTATCTATTATAGCCAAACAGTATGCTAACTATTTTTCTACTTTTTCTATCAGTTAGGTTTGTCAACAGTTAGACTAATTGTTTCAAATTTTTTTGATTTTCTTGGTTTAAATTAATTCATAACTCATTGGCTCTTAATTGATTTGAACTTGCAATAGTCTGGCTGGTGGCAGCAGCAGCAGCAGCAGTAATGATGACTTTCTATGAAGCCATAATTAGCTATAGATTTTTTTCTGCATTACTATTACTAGGTTAGAAATGAATATTTTGATTCAGGAATTGAATTGGGTGGAATCATTCATGAAAAAGAGAATATAAGTCTAAAGGTTATTAATGTTATTATTCTTGACTTTTCCCAAAGAAAATATTTTAAGAAAAATTATGCTAATTATTGTTATTATTATTTTCTTTTATCTGATTAATTAGACATCATCAAAAGAACTTATTGTTGTACACTCAAATACTCAATATTTTTAAAAATTGGATAAAAAATTGTCATTAATGATTCAATATTTGATTAAAAAATAACATAATTAGGAATTGAATATAAAAATCTTCTTGTAATGTCTGAAGAAGATAAATATGGAATCAATATAAAGTAGATGCAGATTGGAAAGTTTTAGGTGCAAAACTTAGAAAAGATGTAGTGATGGATAAATTAAGGAAAAGGTAATGTATGTGGCCCCACTTAATTTTCTAGTAATTTCTTCAAAATCTTTCAAACAACTACCAGATCATTCATCAAAATCCATTCTGATTCACTCAACAAATTCTTTCCAATTTATTTGCTTCTTTCCTTACTTCTTTATTTTGATCTGACCAATATCTGCTAGGTAAATGAGTTATTGCATCTTTGAGAAGGATCAATCATTGCCACGAATAATAGGCAGAGTTCCACCTAGTACAGACATCATTGATTATTTTATAAATTTTTGGGTAATTCAAATTTTCTTGTTCTTTTTCTAATATCTCACATTGTTAGGAGATGAAAAAAATTTGGTTAACCTTTTGACTCTTAAAATGAATTTTTGGATAGCTGTATTAATTTTCAATGATTTCCTAGCTACTAGATTCAAGGTATGTGCATTACATGAAACATGCTTGAGATAAAGAAAAACTCTTTGTAAAAGTCTGGCTGCTTTAATAAATGGGAACCACTGTCTGTAGTTATACAAACAATCTTTTCTTTTAATTTCCACAAAAAATTTATCTCTCATAATTTCTGACAAATAACTTCAGATGTATGTGGTTATGGGATGTGAACCAATGATAACAAAGCTTCCTGTGGTTGATATTCATTAGAAATCCAATGACAAGTTACTCCCAAATATCTATGTTTGCCACAAGAAGTCCAAAAATCACTTGTCAGTGATATATATTTGGATTCTCTCTCCATTATTTCAACCATAAGTATTTTGAATAGTCATAAATGTTTCGAATAGTCAAAAGTCTTTCAAATAACCATAAGTATTTTATAAATATTTTGAATAACCATAAGTATTTCAAATAGCTGTAAATGTTTCAAATAGTCATAAGTCTTTCAAATAACCATAAGTATTTCAAATAGTCATAAGTATTCAAATAGTTGTAAATGTTTCAAATAGTCATAAGTATTTCAAATAACCATAAGTATTTAGAATAACCATAAGTATTTCAAATAGTCATAAGTATTTCAAATATTCGAATAATTATTTTAATATCAAGTGATAATAATCATGAATATTCGAATATCATTCACTATCAGAAGCCCTAGTCCTGTGACTGGTAATAATTTTATGGATCACGGAAAATTAAAATATCTCAAACAAATATTCCAGCATTCTAAAATGTAATGGACTTTAATTCTCAGATTAAATTTAAATGAAGGAACTTAAATGATTTGATCATGTTAGAAATAACTTGAAAATAATTCTACAGTACAAACAACATTTCATATAATCATAAAATCAGTTTAGGAGTCTCAAGTTATTTTTGAAAATAGTTTAGGGTTTCTAAGCTAGAAAGGCAACTCTAATCAACATATTATTTTTTTCCTGCAAGAATCAGGCATGCAAAAAAACCCAGGACACCAGAAACCTCTCCAGATATGATCTCAAATTTAGTTAGTGTTTTAATCAAGGTTCCTTTCATGTCAATTTTGTATCCAATCTTTGCTCTTGAGAAAGGATCCATTTTTTGACTCTATATTTTGAAAAAAATTGTCATTTGAAATCCCTTCAAAAAAATATTGAAGAAAAATACCAGAAAACAATGGAAATGTTGTTGACATTTTCAATTCTTCTTCGGTGCACATTTGAACTAAATTTGGCATCTTGTCCTTCCTGGATAATAGTCCAAAATAGTTTGTTGATTCTTTTCTAGTACCTTTATTACATAAAGAACACCATATTAAATAATAATAAATTTTAGATTATATATATTTAATACATATACATAAATTGAATGTTCACATCCCAATTTGTTGAGAGCTTCATCTTTATTAATATTTATGCAATTATTATCAAAAAATTTTTGGATGTTGTTTGGAGTAATAATGTTTTATTCATCTAATTTGATAGAAAAGTCCTGTGATAAGTTTCAGATGACTTTATCTTTTATTTCAAAGTCATTGAGATTTCCTCTAGTCAAGTCTAATATGCCAACTAGAATTAGCAAATAAATAAAATGTGTAATATATTAATGAACAGGAAGTTAATCATAAATATTTTAAATGATGATGCTAAACTTAAGATTTTACAAGTTTTTGGTATCTTTTGCTGATATTTATGAAATGATTCAATTGTGTTTACATCAAGAAGCTCCTATTGATGATGAAATAATGTGTTTAATGAATACCCTTTGGTACTTTATTATGTTCCAAATGTTTGTTCATAAATATTTATATCAAGCTTTACCTCTGAATGTCTATCATTATTAGCATTGCTAATTGGTAATTGAATTTCATTTGATAGTGAATTTTCATCAACATTTTCAATTATTGATTCTTAATGGATTTATTAAATAAATATCCTTGCAAGTCATCATTATCTGCTGCACATTCAGTGTTTATATTATTGATATCCTTTTTATATTACATTACAGAAAAGTAAAATTCAATTTCACTTTTAAAAAAATCTAAGACCAACTTATTTGAATTACTTACAGAATCTATTGTAAAGTAGTGGAAAAGGAGTCATTTGCTTCTTTGTTAAGATTTTCTTCATTCCAACTTTGTTCTAGTGTATCCACAACAGAACATGTATTATTATTTGTCGCCTAAGCAATTTTGAAAGTCATTTGTAATCTCACCTTTTTGTCATCAGAGTCTTAGCACTTTTGGTATCCATTATTTCCTTTATATTATTTACGCGTCTCAACAATGTTTTCTCAAAGTTGTACAACTATTGTCAATGTACTGGATCATACTATCTCTGGTTGCAAGAATCTGTTGCCTCACTTAAGCAATGAGAATGCTACTCAGTAATTTCTTTTTTTTGTCTTATGAATTTTCAGATTAGGGGCCACCTATGGTGCTCAATATTCACATGTGAATATTACATATTTTTTTTCAAATTATTCTTTGATGTAGTAAAATTCTTAGCAAACAAAACACAGAATTAGTAATATTTAAAAAAAAATTCTATAATAACAATATATTGTAAAGAAGCATCGAATTAAGAGTACATCCTTGTTAGACTAACAGTCCCAGCTTGCACTAAGCGTCGAACTAGCAGTTCATCACTGTTCAGATTAAGCTTTTAACCCTTGCTAATTGATTCACGAAACTTATCCTATTTTCATTCAAATCCGTCCCATTAAATGAACGTATCTTCCGGTCATCAAGGATTTCTTGAGCTTTTTTTTTGCTCGCCACGCCAAAATCAGAATTAGGATTTGCCACCTCTTGAAGATCCTTCTTACACGATCTAGTATTTTTTTAAAATCCTTTTGTCCAACTTTACACGGTAATATTCTATTATATTAATGTACGTTCAACTTTCAATCGCGATGACATAATAAAAGGCTATAAGAGCAAGATGCAGGCATTCCGATAAAATTTTGGGAATTGGCCATTTTCCGATTACGCGTATATAAATTTTTAAATTAAAATTTACTTGTTGTTTCTAATACAATTAATACAATTTCTTATTCAAATTATTATTATTAATAATATTATTATTTCATTTTATTCGTTTATTCAAAATTACTCATTCGTTTTATTCGAATTATATCTTTTTATTCGAATTATTCATTTTATTCGTTTTATTTGAATTATTTGTTTTTATGATGAAATTAACAATGTAATTAAATCATTATAAATAAAAAATTAATTTTGCACTGTAGTTAAAATAAATTTTTCCGACTAATAAAGATGCATCTACCTTAATATATAGTAAAAAAGTTACTATATATATAATGTATTTGTCTCGAGTAAACCTCATGAATATTTGAATTAATTAGATTAAATTATATAAAACAAACATTGCTTTTACAATTTCTCATAAAGTTATAATATTAAAAATTTGATCTCTTAATTGCTATACTAAAGGCTTTGCTTCTAATAAAACTTTGTGGGTATTGGCAACTGCAAGTTTAAACAATAATCTGCATCTAGTGTTACTATAATTTCAACAGAAAAAAATATTCTTTAATGGAATGAAGGTTACTATTTAATTTGTCTTGTTCCTAGTAAAAGTTTATGGATATTGACAACTGATGGATAGCAAATTAGAAACTGTGATTACAAAGTTTATTTGAATATTATTATGTAAATAAGAAATTCCATCATTTCTATTGTTATTGAAACATGATATTAAAAAAAAAAAGTAATTATTAAAGCTAGCATACAATCCCAAAATAATAAGCAGGCAGTTATAAAAGAAATAATTGAATATATATATAAGTATATATAAATATGATTATTTATATTTGTATATTAGAAAATTAATCCTTACTTTGCTCTTATAAAGTGTTTACTCTAATATTTCTGATAACAAAGTTTCATCAGGATTTAAAGCTCTGAATAAATTAAAATCAAAT